GTGTTCAAAAACTGATTTGGACTTATCAAAATTATCGGGAGTTGCGACTGACGGTGCTCCTTCGATGATTGGTGTCAATTCTGGGCTAGTTACTTTGCTGAAAAAGCATCTGCAAGAAAAAAAACATAAACGCTGAAGATCTCATGCAGTTTCACTGCATTATACACCAAGACGCCCTCTGTTCTAAAAAAATTGAATTTCAAAATGTCATGAAAGTGGTAGTTTCGACTGTAAATTTCATAAAATCACGAGGACTCAATCACAGGCAATTCAAACAATTCCTTGATGACATCGAAAGCGAATATGGAGATTTACTGTATTATACAGAGGTAAGGTGGCTAAGTCGTGGATTGACACTGGAACGATTTCTAAATTTAATAGAAGAAATTGGAATATTTCTGGCGGAAAAGCAAAGGGATGTCCCGGAACTTAAAAATCCTGATTTGCTGTGTGATTTGGCTTTTTTAGTTGATATTACAAATCATTTGAATGTCTTGAACACACGGCTTCAAGGCAAAAATCAACTGATATTCCAGCTCTACGCTCATGTATCATCCTTTCAATGCAAGCTGACACTTTTCAGATCGCAATTGAATTCTGGAAATTACAATCATTTTCCGAATTATAAGAAAATGGCTGAAAAATTCAACAAAGCTGCGATTAATTTCAGTTATGTAGAAAAGCTAGATATTTTGATTTAATCTTTTCAAGACAGATTTTCGGAGTTTAAAAAAGTAAAACCTTTGTTGGATATATTCAGCAATCCTTTCACGATTTCAGTTGAAAATGCGCCAGAGTCAATGTAGTTAGAAATTATTGACATTCAAAACGACCAAGATTTACGCAACAAATTCAACGAAGGAGACTTGCTGAACTTTTACCGCTGCATTGATAAAAATACGTACAAAGAGTTGCGCATAAACGCTCTGAAATGTGCCAGCTTATTTGGTTCTACCTATATATGTGAAGAAACCTTTTCAATACTAAATAATAATAAAACAAAAAATCGAAACCGCCTTGCAAATGAAAGTTTGGAAACAGTTTTACGTGTTGCTACAAGTAAATTTGAGCCAAATATAAAAAAAAGATTGTAAGCACTATGTAGTGCCACGCTTCAAATTAATAAATTATTTTTCAATTTTAATACATTATTATCAATTCTTTATTGTCTTTAATTACCTATACTTCTGGCGGCCCGCCATCAGTTCATAATTTGCCCGAGTGGCCCCTAGTCTTAATAAGTCTGTGCATCACTGTTGTAAACTGTTGGCCACTTAAGTCATACTTTTTTTTCACGAATGGCTCTCAAACTTTCGTAAAAATTATATTTTTATAAAATTTCATGCAAAAAATTGAAGTTCATTTTTGCAAATAATTACAATAGATAGTCATACTTTTTACTGAATTTCTCATAGAATAGTCTGTGAGGAATAAGAAAACACCAGAAACACAACGAATTTCATTAATTTGCGGCAGTGTTGTACATGAAAGTACAGTAAGGTCAATAAAAACATACTATTTTAAAACCTTCATATTTTTGGCACCACTTTTAACATATTTTTTTTTGTATTTTATTTGAGCGCCTGATACCTGTATTACTACGCGCTCCAGGATTATCCATTCTTTCTGGGGCACGAGTAAAAACGAAGAGTACCTGATCTACCGGGCATTGATAGGCGTTAGAAAAAATAATTATAATATTATTAGGGATGGCACCTATCTAGATTATTATTCTAGATTTTTAACATAAAGTAAAAGCCGACTTCAAAGAATTAAAAAGAATAAAATAATTTCACTATCTATAGGAAAGCAAGATCAAACCTGAGCCCTGAGCGTTAATCCTATACATAGTAGCCCTCACCTCCTTGTCTAAATAAAGATCAAGGGGCGTAAGGCCTAGAAGTGCATTCAGAGCCGCTCCAGGTGACGATCGCATCGCTCCAGTTGCCATTAAACAGGCAGTCCTTTGTAGACTATTTAGTGTGTCCGCAGTTGTCTTTTTGGTTGGCCTTATTACACCAGACAGTGGAGACGTAGGTAAGAATCGGCCTCTGATTGGACCCTGTTATATTAAAAAGCAGATGTCTATCCTAAACAATTAAACAACTCAAGGTTGTGTTGGTTTTGTTACTTAAAGGAAGAAACGCCTCTGCGCATCCTAACTGATTTCGGACTCATAATGCGCAACCGTAACACTCATCTGGGAAACTATATACTCCGCCCAGAAGAAGTGAAATTGCTCACAGCTAAGCAATTCCTTCTGTTCATTGAGGAAGTAGGGCTTAGCAGTGAACTATAGACATAGCAGCGATCACAATAGATCCTTTGGTCGCAGTTATACTGGTCTCTCTCTCTCTAGACCTGCATAGCTGCTCGCACATAATAAAAAAATACTAGTTCGATCAAGCAGTGAGAGGTGACAACGCGTCTGTAGTCATTTGTTTGAAGTTAGCCAACTTCAAACAAATGACTGCAAACGCGTTGAAAAGCTGGCCAGCTAGCAGGTGGACTGTAAGTTCATTTGTCACTTGTTTTATATAAAAAAGCTGTATTAGCATCCTGTCTAACGGCACAAACATCAGAAAGGAAATATGTTTTTCGTCGATAAGCAATAAGCATGTGATTATGTTAAAGCTTTCTTGTTATCTCAGCGACACGATGGTGCACTGCCATCTTCGCGAACTTGTGAAAACATCTCAAGGAAAGGGCCCATATTCAATAGTGAACTGTTTACTTGACAAATAAAAACATTCGAAGAATAAAGGTAGATTACATGAACTCTCGGTCTTCTTACGAGCACGGTATTACTAACCTAACAACACCTAGCTCTTTAAAATTTATCAAAAGGAAGTCTCTAAGGGATAGACATAGTATAACATAACATAACAAAACATATCATAACATAGCACAACATAACAAAACATAAACTCTACAAGTATTAGGCTGAGATTACAGACTTTATTACTGATTACGATTTTAACAGTGATAGAGTCACGCTGTAGCTTCTGCTGTAGCATAGATGGGCTGGCTCGAACTGAGGCAATACCACCTCACAGAATACCATCGTAAAGTAGAAGCTTTGCTTCTGCGTTTCGCTTGGTTAGTACAGGTGGCCAGAGCCAATAACAACAATAAAACCATGGCGACCCCTGCCACGCTATCCGTGGACTTCTGCAACATCAGGGGACTTCACTCGAACCTTAACGCCGTGCACTACCATCTAGAGACGGCGAAGCCGGCCTTGCTCTTTTTGACCGAGACGCAGGTGTCCTCTCCGGTTAGGGCCGGCCCGAGGTGGCCACTCCGAGTGGGCTTGGCGAGCCCACTTCGGATGTGTGTCGGTGGGCTGCGGTGGGAGGGGTGTCCTCTCTACCCTTCGCGGCCGAAACTTGGTTGGCGACGGAGTCAAAGGCCAGAACCGCCGCGTATTGGACTCGGGGGTCCGATACGTAGGTGGAGTTGGAGGCCGTGGAGTGCTCAGGCTGCCTCGCGTATTTTGGGGGGTGGGGGGGGGGCTCGGGGCAAACTGAGCAACAATACCAAGACGACCCCTGCCACGCTATCCATGAATTTCTGCAATATCAGGGGACTTTACTCGAACCTAAACACAGTCCACTATCATCTCGAGACGGCGAAGCTGGCCTTGCTCTTTCTGACCGAGACGCAGGTGTCTTCTCCGGCTGATACTTCGAATCTCTCCTACCCGGGGAAAAAATGGAGCACTCCTTTGTGCCTCGGGCTGGCGAGCTTGCGTATACGTCAGGGAGGACATCTGTTCTCAACGCCTCGGCAGTCTTGATGGTTCGGACCTGTCCATCCTTTGGCTACGCGTAGACAGCGACGACCATCCGCGCGTCTACGGGTGCCTCTATAGGTCCCATAGCGACCGACTCATCGACCACGTCCAAAAGGCTACAGATTCCTTGATATAACAGGTTCCAACCGCAGGGATCATGATCCTTGGCGATTTTTACACCCACCACGCCGAATGGCTCGGTTCACGTTTAACCGATCATGCGGGGAGATCTGTTTATGACTTTGCCTTGGCATATGGTCTGACACAACTGGTTACTTCGCCTACGCGAATTCCAGATGTGGAGGATCACACACATTCTCTGTTGGATCTTCAGCTGACTTCTCATTTGGACGGATATCAGATTTCTGTCGATGCCTCTCTCGGCTTTTTGGACCATTGTCTGATCCAGAGTGTGGTGCCTCTCACGCTCCCCTCACGGTTGCGTTCTGCAGGTTGCCGACGTGTTTGGCATTACAGGTCGGTGGATTGGGACGGAATGCGGTCTTTCTTTGCATCCTCCCCATGGCGGCGGGTTTGCTTTTTGCCGGATGATCCCAGCGTTGTTGCTGACTCTCTCACTGATGTGGTACTACAGGGAATGGAACTATTTATTCCATCATCTGTGGTACCCATCGGAGGCAGATCTCAGCCTTGGTTTGGTCGCTCCAGTAAGACTGCATTGCGCAGTAAGCAGGAGTGTTATCAAGCCTGGGGTGAGGCTTCGGCGACTCGTGATGTAAACACCAGCACACTCAAAAAGAAGTATAACTTCGCCTCCAGGTCCTTCAAAAGAGTTATTGCCAAGGCAAAGTATGAGCACATTGGTAGAATTGGCGAGAAATTAGTTCGTCTTTCTTCGGGATCCCGTGCATTCTGGTCTCTCGCCAAGGTTGTTTAAGGAAATTTCTGTAAACCACCACTACCATCTCTGCACAGGGAGGACAACTCAATGGCCCACGTCCCAAAAGAGAAAGCCGACCATTTAGGCTCCCTTTTTGCGTCCAACTCGACTCTCGCTGACGGGGGGAACACACCGCCGACCATTCCGCAGTACACGCAAAAAAAAAATTATGAATTCTGCATGAATCATGAAAATATCCTGAGACCACGCCAGCATAATATAAAAAAAAAATTATAAATGCTTAAGTTTAGCGATGCACAATAAAAAGCTGACTGAAGGAACCAAAGTAGGCAATTAAATTACCTCAACAATTGTATAGTGACATGGCTCTACCACAACAAACATACGCAGCATGTGCGTCGCACACCACAGGAACTGCAGCACGAGGAAGTGAATCCTGTTCGTCGAGACAACTGAAATTTATTGCACACAATTAAACAAATGATGATAATGTCCGTTTGGCCAATTTCAACCATGGCAACCACTTAATAATATTATCTTCTTCTTTATCTGTCCATATAAGGCTTGAACTTGTACCCTCTGTTGTTGGGAGGATTTGCTTTAATCGTCACGGTTGACAGACATATTGACAGTCTTAGTATGTTCCGTGGTGTTTCCACGGAAGCATTGTCAAAGGACGACTATGGAAAATTCCAATAAAATCTCATGGCTTTAATAAAATATTCAGACCGAAGCGGCGACAAGAAGCAACCTCAAAGGTGCGAACGCCAAGTACTGTAATCACCAATACGCCTACCAAGTGTAACGATGAGGTGAATTCTCTCTAGAACGGGAGAGATCAATGTCCAGGAGTGGACTTTTACTGTCTGAAAAAGAAGAAGAATGTAGTAAATGTGGGATACGCAAGTACCAAAAAATTTTGTTTACTTACTGATTTCCATAATCAAAAAGTACGGTGTTACAATCAAGTGCAGTAATGTTGATATGAGTATCAGTATGAGTGGCAAGCCATAGCTTTGGTCGAGATCCTGCACAACGTCGCAGAGAGCACCGTGTAAGCATGCCAGCCTGCGGATCGCTTCGCAAGGAGGTACTACGAGACGAGGATTTCCAGTCACTGAAAAATTATAAACGGTCTGAAGGTTTTCATTGACTGGAAGTTATTGTATATACAATTTGAGGGAAAGCATATTGTAGTATATTGCTCTGTGGTAGCAGCGCAAGAAAATCCATCACCTCATTTCATATCGACTAGAATATTCCAGACAGATGTGAAGGCAACATAGAAGGCGATATAACCATCTCGTTGATGCTAGATTTATCGAAAAATACCCAGATCGGCAATGTCAATAATGCGTGGAAGAAAGGCTGTTCAGCAGTGGACTTTTTTGGAATGATAATGAAGACAATGAAAAAGATAGTCACGCTGCTCACGCCACAGCTGTTTTATTAATGCAGCACAAATGGGACGGCTCTACTGTACCAAAGTACCAAACTCTTATTATCTATTTCTGCCGCCGAATAGCAGTGCGTGCGCTGCTGTGTCCTAGTTCCAGACGGGCATAGCATATAGCAACGCATCTACAGACTTCTTAATTTATAGTTGGTTGCGGTTGTCCATTGGCTACAGTCATTTTCCATCAGGTAGACTTAAAGTCCGTTAGTAAAGAATGGTTATATTATTATTTAATATATAAAAATAAAATTTTGTTTGTTCGTATTTTATGCGCTGCCTTAACGTTAATCTGGTTGCGGTAAAACTTTGTCAACTTATTGCTTGCATTTACGCGAAGATTATATGCACAGTACAATTAACTTACAGTACAGTGTCGTACGGACAAATTTATTTGAAGGTTATATATCATTCGATTGTAATGAACGTATTATAATCATTCCTAATTAAACAATATAACTGTTCCATATTTAAAACGATATTTCCACAAAAATATATCTTATGCGGCAGCAACGTGCCGCGTACCTAGCTGGTACATGATAAATTACCAGTGTTGCGAATTATAACGGCGTGGTCTCGTTCGTGTAGTTTGTCCACAAGAAGACTGACGTTGGCACAGCGGCGCGGTTCCGATGTAGCCACGCGAATCGCCAATATGTTAAGCATGGACGGATCGTTAACTTTTCTTACTGGAATTAAACACTTTTATTAGCCGACTGCAAAAAAGGTTTACAATTAGACAATATATTTTCTTTTTTTTTGTATCTATGCACCACCATATACCCAGATAAGTTAGGAAAAAAATTCTATCCACCGTTATGGAAACAGCACACAGTCCACCTGAAGCTAAGTTGATGCTGTGGCCCATATACATTTGTCCTCGATTAATAATCAAAATGCAGATGCGTTGTCACCCCTGAGGACTAACAGAAACAGAAACTTTTTTGGAACGAAGTTCCTTATCGGACGGTACGGGCTTGGCAGATGAGAGCTAGGCGACAAAAAGTTTTCATTCATAAAAACATTTTTCCGTCACTACGCTTTGTGTCATAGTGTAGACGGCCTTGGCGGCGAAATAAGGAAGTGAGATGGAATAATATTCATCTCCCTCGCACTTTTTCTTATTTTTGAAAGAAATATTATTTTATTTCAAATGACGCTTCATTTTAATAGACGCTCGTAATTCATTTATTTGTATTTGTTAATCAATAATATAATACCTACGTTTATCAATAATAATTTATTTCTTTAAAGTTCATACAATATGATGTATAGGCGGACTTAATGCCTGAGGCATTCTCTACCAGTCAACCTTTAGGTGATGCAGAGATAAAAATATGAAGAAGGTGTGTGAAACGCTAAAAGACAAGAATATAAATTAAAGTATATAAATATAAAACAATATAATACATATACCCATACATAAACTACTACTGTGCAAGGAACTTCGTTCCAACCGAGTGTTCCACGACACTCACGTATTTTTTTATTCAATATAGATTATAAATTATAACTAATTGAAAGTCATGTTTTTGTTTAATTACTACTGGTTCGGAAAAAACCTCTGTCCTGGGAAGAACCAGTAAGAAACCCAGCTAGACTTTAAAAGAAATAACAGCTTACAATCATGTATATTACACTATTAACCACACAAAACAAATTAGAAATAGCTTACTAGAATAGCTCATTCTCAGGAGTTATTATCATTCATAAATTCCTTAATATTATAATAACCCTTTTTATACAAACTTAGTTTAATAAAATTTTTGAACTTTGAGCAGGTCAAATTTTGTATATTTTCTGGGATTTTCTTGTAAAAGCGTATACATCGCCCTAAGAATAAATTACTGACTCGGTGGAGTCTAGTAACTGGTACTACTAGCTTGTGTCTGTTGCTAGTATTTACAAAATTAATATCACTTATTTTTGTAAATTTTATTTTTGTGTTGAGAGGCTAAAATTAATATATTAATTTCCTTGAGTTTTTGTCGCAGCGACTCTTTAGGCTTTAAACCATAGATTGCTATTATGGCCCCCTTCTGTAAAACAAATATAATTTCAGTGTCAGTGGCGTATCTCCGTAGTAAAATACCTATGGAAATAGCTAAAGTAAACTAGTCTAGCTGTTTCAACACTGCTAAGATTTCTAATCTTTTTTACAGTATATCCTGCAGAACTAAGTCTGCTTACTAGTTATGATATATGGGGGCCCCATTGAAGCTTCGCGTCTTATGTGATTTGAAGAAAAATGGTGTTCTCGACAAGACTCAGTTCCTCCAAATTAAATTAGTATTTAAATTTTTGACATTTAGAGTCATGAATTTCATAAATTTTGTTTTAGTGCTATTTAAATGTATGTATTAACATTAAACAAATTTAATAATATAGCATTATAAATAAGTCATATCTTAGTAATTGTCGATTTAATTTGAAAATTAAAGACACTTCTTTCAGTAAAAAATACATAAATGTTAATATATATATATATATTAATTTTTAAAATTGCATTACGAGCGCTCGCGTCCGATGGTAACAGGGGTCGCTGCCGGGCCTCTCTTCCCCGCTCATGATATGGCGATTAACGGGACTGGTTTTGCCAAGGCGTCGAGCGCCACGATAGTAGAGTATAGTATTGTTTTACGACCGTTAGTAGGTTGCGCGTCGTTTTCGTAGTCGTTAGTAGTAGTTAGTACGTTAGTAGTCGTTTTGCCCGGTTGAACTGCGAGGTCACGTGTAAAAGGAAGCCTCTAATTCGTGTCGTTTTTTTTGTTAGATTGAATTGCCGAAGGGCCGGTCGCTTCAGCGAGGCATCTTTGCTGACCGACGGTAGTGTGTATTTGCCGTGTAGTGTAATTAGTATTTAACTTAATTTAATAGAAATTGTAGTTGTTATTTGTTAATTTGATTTGTATTTCTGCCGCGGATTAATTTGTATTTAGTAGTGATGCCATCGCACAAGCTGCGATGCATCGCCTGAAGGCAGAGCTGCGCTGGACCGCTAGCGCCCATGCTTTGATAGGGCGACCGGATAGGGTCTATAGTTTGGAGAAGCGGCTCGAGCAGGTCGCGGCCCGGGGGGCCGTAGTAGAAGCAGCGCTTGTGGATCTGCGGTCAGACTTCAACGGTTAAGTCAGGTTACATGGTACACACTACTTACATGCACCTCACTTATCACCTGACCCTGTGGTCAACCCTACCTCCTGAAAGCGGTAAGTTTTGTTATGCTTACTTATTTGCCATTTATTTAGAACATTTATCCATAGGCCGTTGGGCCATGGGCCCTCTGTTGTTCGTCGAGGGGACCACTCATAGGCCCTGGTCCAGTTGACCTTTGTTGGGGCAACTAGGGGCGTATATATATATTGCTATTATGTATATGTATATACATATATGTATATGTTATGTTATTATGTTATAGTATATATATAACATAAAAATATCATGGTTAGCCCCTACAATGTAAGGTAAGTCATTAATGAATACAAGAAACAGAAAGGGGCCAAGAATTGAGCCCTGAGGCACGCCAATTTGTACCTGCGACCCGGAAGAGCTCATACTATTAATGACAACTTTTGGTGTTCTGTTACTCAAATATGAAATAATTAATTTAAGAGCAACATTTCTTACAACGTAGTGTTAAAGTTCCTGATGAATGTTTCATGGTGAACACAATCGAAGGATGAAGTCAAATTCACAGGATGCTTTGGGTATATTCTGTGACCTATCCAAAGGTCACAGAATATACCCAAAGCATCCTGTGAATTCTCCCATGCATTAAAGATATATTTAATTAGCTCAACACCGGCATCAGTTGTCGAGCGACCCCATGTGAAACCAAATTGATTTCTATGAAGTAAATTATTTATATTAAAAAATTTAATATTTGATCAAGAATCTTACTAAGTGTTGGCAGTACAGAAATAGGTCTAAAATTAGCGGAACGCAGCAGCACTAAGCTTTTGGGGGATTTAAGATTGACTAAGATGGTTGCCTCGTTTTCGATAAAAAATGTGTCACCTATTCTCTACACTCACCATACGAAACATAGCAACATGATATGTTTCGTATGGTGAGTGTAGAGCGTGGCCTACCCCGGTTGAGCTGACTCATTTGTGCTACAAGTATAATATAGCTGCAGAGTGGCTCTACCACCATTTTATTTGGTTGTTAGGTAATTAGTTTGTAGGCGATGTTTAAACCTATTTACATAATACCTTTTTTACGTAAATATTCTGACGTTAACGATAATATTCTGTATGCTCGTAATAGATTACTCCTTTATTTATGTTTGTTACCTAATTGTTAATTTCTTGTAAGCCATTTGTAATCTTTTGCGAACTATAAGATCTCAAACCAAAAAATTATTTTATTCTTTAAGTTTTATGAATTCTACTATTTATTATAAATAATTTTTTGTAATCAATTTAATTGTCTTTTCGAAATATTTACTATACTATTTACCCTAAAAAAAGACGTTAATAGCAACTGCAACACAGTTTTTAGGAATAGAGAGCTAGTATAATTACAGGCCGTGAGGCATTACATCTAAGTCCTCAGAGGTGACAATGCATCTGTAACCTTCTTTGTATGAACTTAGCTTCAGGTGTCCATGCACTGCACTTACCAATACGTGGACTGTAAGTTCGCTTGTTACTTCAGTTTTATAAAAAAACGGACCAAGTGCGCGATCAACGGCACCCTGCCTTTAGATAGTGCGCGACCAACGGCCATGTACTATGTAAAGGCAGGGTGCCGTAGTTGTTCGTTGCAATTCCTTTGCAATTCTTGATACTATGAGCACAGTGCATTGCAGATAGGTGTAAGACAGGGTGACGTTATATCACCGAAACTCTTCACCGCTGCATTGGAAGACGTTTTCAAGCTTCTGGACTGGAAAGGATACGGTATTAACATCAATAGCGAGTACATCACTCAACTTCAATTTGCCGACGATATAGTCCTTATGGCAGAATCACTGGAGGACCTAAGCACTATGCTCAATGTCCTCAATAGTGTTTCCCAACGCCCATCCGTTGGGAAACACTCAATAGTGCCTCCCAACGGATAGTTCTTAAGATGAACATGGACAAAACAAAGATCATCTTTAATGTCCATATCACACCTATGCCGGTAGTTGTTGGGAGCATTAAGCTCGAAGTTGTTGACGAGTATGTTTACCTGGGACAAATAGTCCGACTAGGTAAGTCCAACTTCGACCGAGAGGTCCACGTACGCAAGACAGAGTGGCAGATTGTACTCTTCGGTCTTCTGTACAATTTTCCGAAGGGTATGTATGTGGTTTATGGTGCTAAGCCCTTTTCGGAAACAGGCTTGTTCGGGAGGCTGGAAGTCGTAGAGTCTACATGTGCGACGTTTCGTAATGACTCTTGAAAACAGCACGTAGACGCGGCTCAGAAAGGAAATCGATCTGTAGTTCTTCAAGAGAACGTTGTCGCCTTTATTGAACAAGACTACCGCACTTTTGCTCCACGCCTCCGGAGTAGTGCCACCATGGAGGACGGAATTAAATAGCTTCTGAAGAACTTCAAGTACCGGTTTTCCACCCTCTTTCAGAAGCTCCACTGTAATTCCATTCTCGCACGGGTATTTGCCGCTTTTAGTGCCATTCTAATCTCGCGCAGACTGACGTCTGACTACTGCCTGACTAACGAATATCACCGGAATTGTGTTGAATAAGACTTGCTCTTGGATCGTTACTCACACTTGCATGTGACTCCAACAATGACTTGTACAGCTTCCCATAGGATCTTTTTGATGTGGTAGAGCCACGCTGCAGCTATATTAGTAGTATAGTTGTAGCACGAATGGGTCGGCTCGACCGGGGAAGGACCACGCTCTCACAGAATACCAGCGTCAAATAGCAGTTTAACACTGCTGTGTTTCGTATGGTGAGTGTAGAGAACCGGAGACCCTTTTTACTGGAAAAGAGGCATTCCATCTTAGTTCTCACGAGTGACAACGCATCGGCGTTTTGATTCGCAAACGAAGATAAATGTAGATGTCCATGGGCCACAGCATCCACTTACCATCAGGTGGACTGTGTGCTCGTTTGTCACTCGATCCTACGAGTATAAAAAAAAACTCTCAATCTCTCTAATAAAAAGTTGGCGTCTCTACTTAGTTCAAAGTCACGACAGAAAATATATCTAAGAATATTTTTTTCAATGAATTATTGAATTTGTTTATTCTTTCACCTTACAATGTAAGCTACGTGGTTCATGTCATAAATGATTACTGCTTAGTGCTTAACGCTGTTGCAATATGGATGGTACTATTTAGATAACAGGTTAATAATAACATAATATGTGCACGAAACGAAGCGAAACACGAAAGTAACATATAAAAAAAAGGTCACTTGCTATCCTTATACAATAAGTATTCAACCCCCTCCTAAATTAAAATATATGGTGCAATCTTAGAACATAAACAATGCTCTACTCCACCTTAACATTATAGAATTTTTACGCTTTTTTTTAAATGAATTAAAAATTTTCGGTCATGATAAACATCAAAACACCTATTTTCAGATTTTTATGATCAAGAAGGACCAGTTACACGACTCCATAGACTCATGTATTCATTTAAGGGGCAACAACCTTCCGCATACAAGAAAGGTCCTTTCTCCACAAAATCGCAAGAAATGCCCAATAATTGTAAAAGCTAGACAAACAACTCACAGCATACCAGTATAAACAGAAACAGAAACAGAAACAGAAACTTTTTTATTCAATATAGATTATAAATAATACTTATTGAAAGTCATTCTTTTGTTTGATTACCACTGGTTCGGAAAAAACCTCTGTCCTGGGAAGAACCAGCAAGAAACCCAGCGGGACTTTTTTTTTTTAAATAACAGCTTACAATCATGATGTTACACAAATTAACAACACAACAAATTAGAAATAGCTTGGTAGCGATCACCTCATTTCCAGGGGTTATTATCATCCATAAATTCCTTAATATTATAATAACCCTTTTTATACAAACTTAGTTTAATAAAGTTTTTGAACTTTGAACAGGCCAAACTTTGTATATTTTCTGGAATTTTGTTGTAAAAGCGTATACATCGCCCCAAGAATGAATTACTGACTCGATGGAAACAAGTCCAACTGTTAAAACAGTAATTAAAAACTTCGACTGCGTAAAAAGTTTACTGAAAAGAGAAAAAATCATACAACATAATATAATACAACTAAGACAAATCTAATGACAGCCCATGTGTTAAAAACTGACAAGCCGTTTAAGCTAAAGAGTGTGCCAAAGAATCAAAGAAATGAACATACATACATTAACATGTATACATACATACATATTATATATACCTAAAAACTCGGGTATATATCAGCATAATGCTGCTGTGTTTTGTAAACTGAGTATAGAAAATTGGAGACTCCTTTTACTAGTAACGAGACATTTAGAATAGAATAGAATAGAATAGAATATTTTTTATTCAATATACATTACATGTGTAATTCTTATTGAAAGTCATTTTTTACTTTACCACTGGTTCGAAAAAAACCCTCTGTCCTGGGAAGAACCAGCAAGAAACCCAGCGGGACTTTTTTTTAAAATAAATTTTACAATATAAATGATTAAGAACTATTTACAAAATTTATTTTAGAAACTGCTTGGAAGCGATCACCTCATTCCCAGGGGTTATTATCAACCATGTATTCATTTATACTATAATAACCCTTTTTATACAGTTTCAGCTTAATAAAACATTTAAACTTGGTAATAGACAGAACCTGTACACTTTCCGGGACCTTGTTGTAATAGCGTATACATTGCCCCAAGAATGAATTACTGACTCTGTGGAGTCGAGAAACTGGTATCACTAGCTTGTGTTTGTTCCTAGTGTTTACAGAATGTATATCACTTCTTTCACTAAAACCATCTTTGTTTTTGTGAACATACATTAAAGTTTCGTAAATATACTGAGAGGCCAAAGTTAATATATTAATTTCTTTAAATTTATCTCTAAGAGACTCTCTCGGTTTTAGATTGTAAATAGCTCTAATGGCCCTCTTCTGTAAAACAAAAATAGTTTCTGAATCAGCCGCATTTCCCCATAGCAAAATCCCATAAGACATTATGCTATGAAAATAACTAAAATAAACTAATCTAGCTGTCTCGACACTAGTGAGACCTCTAATCTTTTTTACAGCATAGGCTGCAGAACTTAGTCTGCTTGCTAATTTGGATATATGGGGGCCCCACTGGAGTTTTGCGTCAAGAGTGATGCCAAGAAAAACAGTGGATACAACAGGGCTCAATTCCTCCCCATTTAAAAACACATTGGTATTCAGATTTTGAACATTCGTTGTTGTAAATTTAACACAATTAGTTTTATTTCCGTTCAAATGCAGATTATTAACGTTTCAGATACCCAGTCGAGGATATATATTATGTATGTGTATGTGTCTATAAAACATAGCATCCATTTGCCATCAGGAGGATTGTGTACTCGCTTGTAATCCTTATTGTATTAAAAGGGTTAAAGTTACATTTAAATTACAGCCTTTATACGTCCTTGACACAGTCCTCTCATTTCTTAGAGGGATTAAGAAGACAAGTTAGTCTCCGCAGCGCCGCCCTAATGTTTTTGACAGACTTCGTATGTCTTCGAAATATATTTGGGTAGAAATATATTATTATAACCTGGGTAGCCAGTGTTAGCCCCTGAGCTTTCAAGGCTGGATAAAAATGCTTGTTTAATGAATATACAGCAGGAATGGATTCATCACTTTCCAAATTTTTTAAATAATTTTTATAATTAACAATACAACTAACTTCATTTTAAAGTTTTAAAAAAGTCCTTGTGGTCGCTGGTTGTTCCCAAGACAGAGGTTTTTTTGAATCATTGATAAAAGTAAAAAAATGACTTTCAACTTTCAAATAATTCAAATCTATTCGAAAAAATCTACGTGATTATAGATAATTTGTTTCGTTGTGTGGTACGTGTAGGTTAACAACAAAATAGATACCTGGCGCAGAAACAATCTTCGCTGTCATAGCGAGCACATCGTTGACCGCTTGGAATCGCGCGCGAATGGAGAGCGCCGTGAAAGCAAACTGCAACTCTAAGATCATTGCCACATACCACAGCAAATAGAATCCGATGTAGTTGATCACAACATTCCCTGTAAAATATCATGTGATGTGCTGCCTCAAATTATAGAATGATGTTCTCTCGTTGTCATACGTAAGCGACAAAGCAACAACGAGACCTTTTAGACACATTTTGAAAACATCAAACAATAATAATTGTACTTTAATACAATTCCCCACACAAGTTTTCAACCAAACACAAGAGTATAGTAACAAATGCGTCGAAAAACATTGCACGGTGTCAAGAAAAATGTCTCAGTATACATTGAGTATGTAAATTTTACTACTACATACAATAATAAATTACCAATCTAAAGTTTCTTGAGTGGTACCGGTAAACGAAATGTAGTAAGAGATGCAGGAAGTCGATGGATACAGGTGGCTCGGGCCCGTGCTTTGTGGCATTCATTGGGGAAGGATAATGTTCTGCAGTGGACTTATGAAGGGCTGTAATGATGATGATAAACAAAGTAGAAAAACAAAATGAAGTTTGTTTTTATTGATTAAAAAACACATATAAGATTTAAAAAGAAAGTAGCAAAAGTTTAGTGGAGCTACTCTTCCTGCTTAAGATGTTAGTAAAAATTTAAATCGTATCTCATGACTTAATAATAGTTAATATTTTGCAATGAAATTATTCGCATTGCTTTTACGTAACGAAGAAATTAGACTAACGTAAAAATTTGACAATTTATATGCCACGAAAGACATCTACTCATGTGACGTAAGAGGCGACTAAAGGAAATGCCAGAATGAATAAGCTCCGATAGATAGTGGTACAATGTCTTGCTTATATCATTAGATTTAAAATACTCAAACAGTAGGGAGAGGAGCGCCAAAGATCTGTCAGACCCGTGGGGTTAGACAAGTTGACTTTTACAATGGTTCACGATAATAGAAAACTAAAATGACATTTCCTACGTTAAATGTGAATTAACGTTGATTTCATTTATCACGATTGTAGAAAGTCAACTTGGTTAACTATGCTGGTATCGCGATCGCCTATGTGTTAGGCGTGGCGATTATTAAATTTTTTCTGCATTTGCCTCTTTAATTATCATCGTTATCATTACAACCCTTCACAAGTACACTGCTGAACATAGGCCTCCCCCAAGGAATACGACAAAGCACGGTTCTGAGCCACCTGCATCCATCGACTTCCTGGATGTCTTACCAGGTCGTCACTCCATCTAGCAGGGGGCCGCCCCACATTTCACCCACCGGTACGAGGCTGCCAGTCGAGAATCTTTTTTCCCCATCGATTCTCGGTTATTCAAGCTATATGGCCGCCCCTTGGAACTTCAGCTTACTAATCCGTTGGGCTATGTCGGTTACTCTGGTTATACTGCAGATATCCTCATTTCTAAGTTTATCATGCAGAGAAACCCCGAGAATAGCCCACCCCATAGCTCGCTGAGTGACCTTGAGCTTCCTCATACGGCCAGCAGTGAAGCACCACGTTTCAGTTCCATAATTCATCATTGGTAACACGCACTGTTTGTACATTCTCGTTTTCAAGTTTTGAGGTATACCTGACGAAAAGATGTGTCGTAATTTCCCGAACGATGCCCAGCCTAGTTGAATCCGTCGATTTACCTCTCGGTCGAAGTTGGACTTACCTAGTCGGACTATTTGTCCCAGGTAAACATACTCGTCAACAACTTCGAGCTTAGTGCTCCCAACAACTACCGGTATAGGTGTGACATGGACTTTATACATGACCTTTATTTTGTCCATGTTCATCTTAAGACCTATCCATTGGGAGGCACTATTTAGGTCCTTGATCATAGTGCTTAGGTTCTCCAGCGATTCTGCCATAAGTGCTATATCGTCGGCAAAACGAGGGTGAGTGATGTACTCGCCGTTGATGTTAATATCTTAACCTTTCCAGCCCAGTAGTTTGAAAACGTCTTCCAATGCAGCGGTGAAGAGTTTCGGGGATATAACTTCACCCTGTCTTACACCTCTCTGCAGTTGGATAGGTCTCGTAATCTGGTTTTGTACTCGGATAGCCATCGTAGCCCTACTGTATAAACACTTTAGCACTTCGATATACCGACAGTCGCCTTGGCTCCGCTGAAGGCAATGCAGCACCGCCCAAATTTTGACGGAATCAAAGGTTTTCCCATAGTCCACATACGCAAGAAAGTGGAAAATTGTACTCCTCGGTCTTCTGTTAAATTTGCCAAAGACTGTGTATGTGGTCTATGGTGCTAATGCCTTTTCGGAGACCAGCTTATTCGGGAGGCTGGAAATCGTCGAGCCTGCGTGCGCGATAATTCGTAATGTCTATCGAAAACAAAACGTAGACGTGGCTCAGAAGGGAAATCGGTCTGTAGTTCTACAAGAGAGCATTGTCGCCTTTTTTGAAGAATAAGACCACCGCACTTCTGCTCCACGCCTCCGGAGTAGTGCCACCATGGAGAACAGAATTAAAGAGCTTCTGAAGGACTGCAAGTAGCGGTTTTCCACCCGCTTTCAGAAGCTCCGCTTTAATTTCATCCTCGCCCGGGGACTTGCCGTTTTGAAGATGTTGGAGAGCCATTCCAATCTCGCTCAAACTGACATCCGAGATATCATCGGAATAGTGTCGGATAAGACTTGCTCTTGGATCGTTACTCGCGCTTGCGTGTGGCACCAACAATGATGTGTACAGCTGCTCATAGAACCTCTCAATTTCACTCAAAATCTCAATTGTCCCAGAAACGATGCTGTCAAATTCGATTTTCAGTTTCAACAATTAGCTCTTTCTGGCAGACAGATCTCTAGCAAAGACTTTGGAGCTCTGGTGCCGCTCGATAGCTTCTTCGATATGAAAAAAATATTAAAGTTAATACATCTGTCTGTTCAGTTACCTGTATGCTGTCATATCTACTAAAGAATGCAGCTTCATTTCCTGTCTAACAGCCATGAGATTAGGAGTGTGATTTGAGAGTTTTTGTATTCTTTTGCGGCGGGTCTTGCAAAACTTAGCTCAGACTGCATGGACAGTTTCCACGAGCTTGTCATTCAGAAACAGAAACAGAAACTTTTTATTCAATAACCATAATAAATAATAATTATTAAAAGTCATTCTTTTGTTTAATTACCACTGGTTCGAAAAAACAACCTCTGTCCTGGGGAGAACCAGCAAGAAACCCAGCGAGATTTTTTTTGAATAACAGCTTACAATCATGTATGTTACACAATTAACCACACAAAATAAATTAGATATAGCTTGGTAGCGATCTCCTCATTCCCAGGGGGTATATTATCATCCATAAATTCCTTAGTATTATAATAACCCTTTTTATACAAACTTTGTTTAATACAGTTTTTTAATCTTTTAGGTCAAATTTTGTATATTTTCTGAGATTTTGTTGTAAAAGCGTATACATCGCCCCAAGAATGAATTACCGACTCCGTGGAGTCGAGTAACTGGTACTACTAGCTTGTGTCTGTTCCTAGTATTTAAAGAATGAATATCGCTTATTTGGTATAACTACATTTATTTTTGTGTACATACATTACATTTTCATAAATGTTTTGAGAGGCCAAAGTTAATATATTAATTTCCTTAAATTTTTGACGCAGCGACTCTTTAGGCTTTAAATCATAAATTGCTCTTATGGCCCTCTTCTGTAAAACAAATATAATTTCAGTGTCAGCTGCGTGTCCCCATAGCAAAATACCATACGAAATTATGCTATGGAAATAGCTAAAGTAAACGACTAACTATAATGATTTCTTATATTTACGCGAAGACTTAATTTTTACGGATTTTATGTAACTCGAGCTGAAAGGTTTTTGGATTAGAGCACGAGGGGGACGGAGCGTTGACTTCATTAGACGACGCCTCTCCAACTTAACGTTTAGGTTCAGTGTGACTTTAACCATTCGGTGATGGCTACCAATTTTCACCATCGCGTCGTCATAATGAAGTCAATCTCATTTTTTGACGAACCGTCGGGGCAGTACAACTTCCTGTGGGGCCACTTCTGGAAGAAAGAGTTCATTATAAAGAGTCCCTCTTTCTTCATGAAGTTGGCCAGCTGTTGGCCCGTTGGATTCCGTTGACCTATTCAAAATTTCCCTACCCTCAGCTCGCCGTTCTTTCTTGTACCGAGTTTTGCGTTGAAGTCTCCCATTAACACCGTGTAGTAAGTTTTGGAGGAATGCATGGCTTTAGAGATAACCTGATATATTTCCTCCACCTACTCATCGGGATGTGCCGAGGTTGCTGCGTAAACCACTATGACTTTCAATGAATACCGTTTGGTGATTCTGAGTATAAGGTACGCAATCTTCGTCGACACACTCACAATCTTTACTACATTGTTAATGAGAGTATTGTGGAGGATAAATCCGACATCTCCTTGGGACAGACGGCCGCCCTCCTGGTGATAGAACAAGTCGCCGGATTCGAGGATTACCGTGTCCTACCCCTCTCTTCCGACCTCAGATAATCCTATAATATTCCAGCGCAACTTGTCTATCTCTTCTTCCAGCTCCAGGATCTTCTCATCAGTCCTCAGGTGTGTGCGTTGTATGTTACCAGGTCGAGTCGTCTTAGGTGGCAACCGAAGCTCCACCGGAGATTTTTAGCACCCCCTGCCCCGCCGTTACCATGGTCGCCACCGTAGGCAGGAATAGCGGGAGGACTGGGGGCCGTCTCTTTGTTACATTCATAGAGGGATATTTGCCACAGTTGCCACGCTTGGCGAGCGGGTTGGCAACCACAATTATTTTTATAGTATTATTTCTGCTGCCCATCTTCTGCTTGTTTCCCTCTGTCGCCTCTTACGACACCCACCGGAAGATATGGGGTAGATGCCTCTTTCGTGCAAGTTTATTTTCAGAATTTTGGATTGGTGTTGCTAATTTTTTCAAATATTCAACTTTAAAAATATTCTCAACTTTAAAAGGACTTACACTCTCTTTCGAATTTTGAAGCTTGCAGAGTATAGAAGCAGAAGTCATCTGCAAGTAGAATAGAGAAGAAGATTAGGATTGCGAGTAATATCCCACACAATTTACGCTCCGTAGCACGGGAATAGTAGGCACCGATGCTGTGGTCCACCTGAAAGTTTTGAAGCAATTATATTAAGAGCAATTAACAGATCTAATAAAAACCGCACAATTGCGAATATTATTTTCATTTCATTTTTTGATATTTCATTTAATCTAGCATTTATAGGTAAATAAAGCAATCTAATGAAAATGTATTTTGAATTTGAAGGACAAATTTTATTATTTCAATAGGGAAAAATTCCTATTTCATACATTGGTCAACATCACAGTCGATACTCCAACTAAAAATGTAACTAAGTTTGTAATCGCAAAAATTTTGGTATTTTTTTGTTGTTTGATTTTGAATCGAAGGTAGATAGTTAGTTAATTTTTATAGGCCTCAGCATCCATACTATCACGTGGACTCTGCGCTCGTTTTCACTCTTATTTTTATAAAAGAAGAAACAGTAAATCACTCCATAATTTATTGAATTGGTTAGTAACGTAGCCGTTTTCACTGATAGTGCAGAAAAAACTTACAGAAGCGATACTCTCCATAAACTTAAGCATATTTCGCATCCTCTTCGGTGCACCGTAGACTCCAGCGCCAGCGGTTACCACAACGACGAGCACGTCGCACGTCGAAACCACCTGCGACATCCTCGACGACATACGCACAGATCGTTCGATGCCAACATTTATCTCTGCCACTAGTCCGAATATCGTAGAAATAACTAAAAAATAAAATCCACCATTTAACTAAAATCGTCGAGTTTAGTTCAAGGATATTGTTTTTTTTGTTTTGTCTTTTCTTGCTTTATCATCTCTTTAGTAACCAGATGAGTTGTTCTATGGTGAAGTTTTGCTAATTGTATAGGCGAGTATCTTAAGCAATGGTCCCTGCAACTACCATTCTTCAGTGATACCTATTGAGATTATACTACGTTCATTATAGTGGAAAAAGGGCAAGTGAAAAAAATATAGATATATATCGTATCGATATTTTAAACAGTGATAAATAACGATATATCGATATTACGTCATGTATGCATGATGTACTAGGATAAGGCCCAAAACTTTATTACTGACAGTTGGATGACGAAAAAAAACGACAACAGCACATGAATGCCTTTGTAGCTTGTTTTGTTGCTAATTACTTTGTCGATTAGTCCAACATTTTAAAATAAATCGAAATTGATACGATTTCGATACTCTAAAATAAATATCGTATATTGATATATCACGGTTTAAAATATCGACGATAAATATTTTTTATGAAATATATCGATATTTCCATATATCGATATTTTTTACCCAAGCCTACATTATACTTCAACGTTATGCAGTGGCGTAGCGGGGGTTGCCGATGCGTAACAATTATTTTTTTCATTTTAACACCATTTCACAAAAAATATGAGTGTGACAAGGAAAAGGATATAAGATTTTTTCAAGTAAATTAATAGATAATATGTATAAAATTTTTATTTTAAACATTTTCCCATATGGTTCATAGTTTTTGAGTTTTTAGCAAGATTCTTCGGTGACATCACCAATTATCATCAGGTGAGCTGTGAGATAGTAGTCATGCTCTAGCTTACAATTCATGAAAAAAGATGTGATATTAAAGTGGTAATAAAATTAGCAGCTAGATGTATATAAAGTTGAAATAAATAATATAAAGCCTTTAAATAAATAATAGATTATTTTAATTAAATAATTGCTAAGATTAAATAAATCATCTTTGATCATGATCTGAAATATAAGTAACCCCACATTAATAGATCCCACCCAGGCGATGCCGGGAGGAGTATCTATATAATTATAAAATAGAAGATTAATTTTTCTATAATTATGAATTTACCTAGAGTTGTAACGAGGATGTAGCTGTAGATACACATAGCGTTCGAAATGGAGACGGTGAATCCATTGCAACGTGACTCAAATCGTAACGGTGCTAGACCGAAAAAACTGGATATCTGTGAATTGGTTTCATAGTTATATTATTATAAACTTATATCTAACGTGGTAGAGCTACGCTGCAGTTATATAATTATTGTAGCACGAATGGGTCGGCTCGACCGGGGTAGGACCACGCTTTCACATAATACCAGCTAAAATAGCAGCTTAATGCTGCTGTGTTTCGTATGGTGAGTGTAGAAAACCGGAGACCCTTTTTATTGGAAACGAAGCGTTTCATCTTAGTCCTCAGGGGTGATAAGCATCTGAATTTTGATTCTTAATCCAGGAGATTTTTAAATGTCTATCGGTCAGAGCATCCACTTATCATCAGGTTGATTGTGTGCTTGTATGTCAACCTTATTCTATAAAAAAATATCTCTTTCCTCAATAAATTAAAGATATTGAGATTAGTTTGTCATTATAACGTTATAAACGTTAGTAATATTAGATACGCGAAAACGATGTATGCTTTGAATTGCATCGTTTTATTTAAAAATTATCATGTATGTTTCTTGTGCAACGACTAAATAATCAAAAGAGGTAACGTGATCTCATCATGAGGTTACCTTTTTTTTAAGTACTTTTATGACTTTGGAAAAGTTGATTTAAGTGGTAGAGCCACGCTGCAGATTTATTAAGGTTGTAGCACGATTTGGTCGGCTCTACTAGGAAAGACCACGTTCTCACAGAATACCATCGCATAATAGCAGTTTAATCTAATAATATGTTTCATATGGAGAATGTGAACCGAAGACCCATTTTACTGTATTTAAATGAGGCATTCCCTCTTAGTACTCCGGGTTGTCACCTCATCAGGCCCATCTGGCCCGGTGCTGCATCTGCATTTAGATTCTTAATTAAAGATAGATGTAGATATACATGTTATATGAGCCACAGCGCAGGTGCCGTCAGGTGAACTTATTCTATATAAAAAAAAACTAAACATTATCTTTGAAACATCTATTTAAAACATTCTTATAAAAGTTGTAAAGTGTGTTAAATGTTATATCGCCTTTATGGAAAATACATCATTATATTGATCGCCAACGTGTGGTTATAAAATTAGGGCATTGCTGATATTGGACTTTAGCTCGGCGGCCTTATGGTGTAGTGATGCGCCGGTTTTGTATCGATAATATACCATAAGTTGTGTTGAATAAAAACTGTAAGTACGTAACTAAATATAAGCAATTAATACTAAATTTATGTTGCAGTAAAATCTAAAAATAATTTAAATTATAGTTTAAAAAACCTCCGAAACAAAAAGAGCTGATGATCTTCAAACGGTTGAACAGATTTTCTTGAATTATAACTAAGAACACTCTCAATTAAGATCCTTTAGAACGAAAAAACCTTAATCGAAATCGGTTCATCCGTTCAGGAGCAATGATGCCACAGACACAAAGATACACAGATCCATCTGTCTTCGTCGGGGGTTAATAATGAAATCATAGACAATCAGATGTTCAAAGCGTGCTTTCACGACAGTCTTTCTGGAAGATCAGCATTTGTTATTGAAATGATGATTGTTTGCCATTATTCTAATGCTTAAGTAAATTGTTGTGTTCTTTAGTTATTTTGTATTTACCCTCAGAATAAATGCATGAGCTCCACCAACAACGCAATGCATAACTGTGTCGGTTCCTAACTCGCTGTCGGACGACGCAATGTTTTCCTCGCGCTCCACCTTTCTAGACCCGACACCTGTGACAATTGCCACAAAACATACAAATTTAAAATAAATATTAAGATTAAATAAAAAGATTATTATTTTGAATAAAACTATTTTCCGAATTTATCGCGTTTAATTAACTTATTTTATATTCCCGACAGTTCAGTTGCTTTCCAGAAACCGTGGTTACGGTGAAGCCGGCCACAGTCGAGCGTGTGCCTGCTGTACTATCATATGTCAGAGGTGTCACAGACAAGATTGGCTACATCTTGAAGCGAGCTTCTATTAGAACATTCTTCAAGCCGCCGAAGTAGATTAGTCAGTTCTTACCATCCGTCAAGTTTAATATTCCTCTACAAGATGCAGGAGTGTACAAGTTTGATTGTGAGTGTGGTCTCTCATATATAGGGCAAACAAAACGATCAATAAAAACCCGCATAAAAGAATACCTATTATCATATCCTAGACGGCCCCCGCCATTAAATTAGATTTGATAAACCACAAATTCTCGCGAAAGAACATCGATTCCTGCCAAGGATGATACGTGAGGCTATTGAAATTAAAAAACATCCTAATTTTAATAGAGAGGGAGGCTGGGTACTACCACCTACTTGGGATCCTGTAATTCGTAAAATTAAAACTAAACCCAAGCATACCACTGTAAGACTTCAAAACACAGTTAGTTCATTCTGCGTAGATCGGACCCAAATTATTAATTAAAAAAGCTGAAGTTACTCCGGTTTAACTCTGACATCGGGACGTCAATCACCTCAGTCCCCCGTGACCACGGTTGCTGGAAAGCAACCGAAACGTCGGGAACATAAAATAAATTAATTAAACGCGATAAAATCCGTAAAAAATAGTTTTATTCAATGTGTAGTGTTCGCGTAAATATAAGAAATCATTAAGATTATTATTTTACATGGAAAAGAGGTATTAGCGAGCTATGAAGGGGCTACGTTTGGTAAAGGCTTATTAAAAGTTACATGTTTGATAATAACCCCTGTGAATAAGGTGATCGCTACAATACTGTTTCTAAATGTTTTCATACTTAATTTTATAAAATATTATTTTGTAAATCAATAATATAAAATAAAAGTCCCGCTGGGTCTCTTCCTGGTTCTTCCCAGGACAGAGGTTTATTCCGAACCAGTGGTAAAGCTTAAATGACTTTCACTAAGTATTCTTGTTATCTATAACATGATTCTATTCTAAAAGTTTCTCTGCGATACATTCACTGTAGAACCAGAGTTTTTATTGAGAACCAGAGTTTTTAAAGAGAGCAAATTTGTAGTACCTAAAGTAAATAATTACTACGGGGAAAGAACTTTAAAGAAACGTCTACTGTACTTTCCCAATACACTGCCTGAGGATATTCGATTTGAACCAGTGAAAAACATATTTAAAAACAAATTAAAGCAATACTTATTGGCTAGTCTTAGTGCTTAACTTTAAAATTATTATGCAAATGAGATTCAAATGTTTCTGCAGATAAATTGCGTAAGGAGTTTTGCGGGAATATGTATATTAAAAACCAAACTTTGTACTTTTAATAATAAATAAATAATAAAAAAAATATTAATAAGTTCAACAATCATTTATCTTTCTAACAATGTGCTTTTAATATCATTTATATGTATAATATGATTGCTAGATACGATTTCATTCGATAAAACGTTGGAATCTTAATTTTTAGGCGATAGTAGAATATACCTTGCACTTTCGCTTAAGGCATTCAATAACCAGAATAGCCCAACGGATCAGTAGGTTGAAGTGGCAACGGGCTGACCGTATAACACGAAGAACTGAGAAACGATTTAGAGGAAAGGTTCTCGAGTGGCAGGCAGTCTTGTACCGTTAAGCGAAGTGTAGGGAAGCCCCCCATTAGATGGAGTGACAACCTGGTAAGAGACGCGGGAAGTCGATGGGTGCAGGTGACTCAGGACCTTGTTTTGTGCAGATGTAAATTTGTGAAGAGTTGTAATAATAATGATGAAGTTTCATGATTAATATCTTTTAGATGCCCATAAAAACTTTCGCCGGCTCCGACAAGTTTTACCGAATGGTTTGCCTGGTTGTAGGTTGCTGTTCACACTTATCCGTCCGACATCGCCTTCTAGCTTCTACTATACTCTGTAGAAATGAATGAAACAACTCGTTTGATACAGAGGTCGACTGATAGAAAATGCCTCAGGGCATTAAGTCCGTCCTTTGTATTATTTTATACTACTTAATATACAATATGTAACATAAACCCTGCGGTTCCCGTTAAGTATGTTATCAGGATCATTATTCAAACGTATATATAAAAAAATAATTGTATGCAAATTGTATGTGGTTTTATTACCTCTGCATTGCCTGGGGAGTAAGAGAATTGTCAAAGACCCCGCTTTACCTAGCTTTAGCATCGGCTAGTGTCAGTAAGAGGTAATAAAACAACATAAAATCTTTTTTTTAAATATAATAAAATAAAATATAGCCGAGTTTTAAAAAAGTTGTTTCTATAGGTTTGAATACTGATCCTGATAACGTACTTAACGGGAACTACAGGGTTTTTGCTACATATTGTATAGGGAATGCAATAAAAAATAAATAAATAGATAAGTGGCCATTGAAAACAATGGACGCTTGCAACCATATTCAAAAAGAAAGCAACAGATGCGTTATTGTCACCAAGGAGGAGAGCCAAGAAGAAAAATGAGAGAAGAAGAAAACCCAAATAGCCTGTGAAGGATTAAAAGAAAGAAAGTGGTTAGTATTAGAATTAATACCAAACAAGACGACAACCAACTATGTACAAACAAAGAAAGCTACAGATTCGTCCCTATCAATAAGAACTAAGACGACTTGCTTTACGGTTTCAAATTAGTAAATGAAAAAAATAAAAAATAATTAATTACCTTTGTTCATTCCAAAGATCGAGAAGACACCACAGAATACTTTACTCCTAGAGAAGACACGGTCAATAAACTTATACCTCAATCATTACATATTAATTTAAAGGTATTTATAAATAGAGTCCATTATTCAGTGGTATCACTGCAATATCGATATAAGCTATAATTTGCGTACAATTTTAGTTATCGATTTACAATACCCATTTGAAGCTGATCTAACTCCTATTGTTATTGTTAATTGTACTAAACTACCCACTTCACTTTACAATGTTATTGAAATTGTAAAATACTGTTTATTAACGATTGCAATCATTAAATATAATTTAATTTTATTTTTGGTGGACAAGCGGATGAAGCCAGCGTTTCGCACGTTTCATATGAACAAACTGCGATCTTACGGGCTCAACGGGCAAACTCATTAAGTTGTCTTATCGATCATCGCAATAGCAAAACTTTAATTACCTATCCCTTGAAAAACACTTCATAATAATGCTTTGAAGTTTTACAACGTGAAATTATATATTATACTAGCGATCCGCCCCGGCTTCGCACGGGTGTTTTCTGAACTCGACAACAGCTCCACCTACCGGGTCCAATTATCAATATAAATCATCCAGAAATCCATCCAGAAATCTATTCAAACATACACAAAAATTTCGAGCCAGTTTCGAGTTTTAGTGAGATTAACGGATAGCAATTGATTTTTTTTATAATACTAGCTGGTACCCGGCGCGTTGCTGCCACAGAAGAAATAAACCTAGCAAGCTAATAGCATAGCAAAGTGGCGAAGAAATCAGCTTTGTAGCGGTTTCTAACGGTTGCCGTTGAGCAATCAGTTTCAAAATAGGAGGTTCAGATGCCTGGGTGATCAGTAATCGATTGCTGAAAACAGAATTTGAAAATTCAAAACCGTTCTCGAGATAATCGTGGGACAGACGGACAGACGGACAGACGGACAGACGGACAGACGGACAGACGGACAAACGGACAGACGAACAGACGGACAGACGGACAGACATCGTGAAATCAATAAGTGACTTCGCAAGCTTCGCCACTTAATAATTGTGGAAATATCGTTTTAATATAGTTTAATTGGGAATGATAACACATTCATTGAAATTGAATGATATATTATAACTTTCAAATAAATTTGTTTGTACGATGCGTGCGCCACCAACTGTAAGTTAATTGAACAATTCCTATAACCTTCTCGCAAGTGCAAGCAATAAGTTGACAAAGTTTTACCACAATCTGATCCCCGTCCCGTCCCGGGTTTCTTGCTGGTTCTTCTCAGCACAGAGGTATTTTCCGAACCAGTGGTAAATCAAAAATGACTTTCAATAAGTATTATGTAATAATCAATATTGAGTGAAAAATCATTCTATTCTATTCTATGATGAACGGTATGGCAACGCATAAAATACGAACAAACAAAAATTATTTTTATATATAAGAAGATAGAGATTACACGTGTGTATTGATAGATGCGACTTAGTGCTGAAAGCGCAAAAGTTCATTATTCTAGGAAATGAAATTTTACTGCAAAAATATTTAAGTATAACATTTTTTGTGTTAAAAGAACAGAAATATGTTTTCCGTTAAAATAATGTGGACGAATTTTCTTTGCATAACACGCTCTTTTGGTATTAGATTGTGCGTATTATGGTGTCTAGCTTAAAGTGTAATAGTGTAAGTTTAAATAAATGAAGAAAAACCACAATTCCAATAACGGTTACATACTCATAGAATTTTTACCCGGTAGAGCTACAATGTATAATGGTTTCGTTTGACTTGGCGAACACCATGGTAAATTAGAACTATGGTATAACTAGCTGTGTTTCATATGATGAATGATGAGAATCAGTGACTCTTATTACAGATAAGTGATAACGAAGCATTTCATTTCAGCTTAAGAGTAACAAAGCTCCTTACATTTTAATTCTTAAATTACATCCTTGCATAATCTTTAAATACGTATCACCGGCCTGTCAAAGAAATTAAAAACAATCCTATACGGATAAACTGAATAACATTTCTGGAACCAGTAATAATAATGTCCTGCAGACCGAATTGCTCAAACGTAGGTGCAAGCACAAGAGCACTCTCTATTCCCGCACTCTCATAGTCCGGTGGGA